CAAACTAGCTAAAAACCAAAACCAACCACATACATTTAGTCTTCTTCATATCAATATATATAATCTATTATATTACCTCTATTATGACAAATATGTCATAGAGCAACCTACATGTAGAACTATTAAAAACATTAGTAATGCCTACAATATAGCAATGTGGTTCTCTCAACATTGAATAGAAAATATCCTTCCTCTATTCTTGCAAATTAACTAGAATGCTACCTGGCTTTTTCTTAATAATAATCACAAAAGATTTACATCTTATGCCAGTTTTACTTTATGCCAAGTAAAAGCATTTAAAATCAAGCTGATGCTAGGAATACTACCTACATTATCTTACTTACATTCTTTTTATCCAACAATATATTCTAATCTTAATTGCATTTTATGCAATAAATATGATAGTCAGCTGCATTGACTAACCTGCCCAAACTCACTTATACTTAACTCTACTATTACCAATATAATACAACAATTCTTTAATTATTTACAATTAGATATAACAACTATACAACTACAAGAACTACACAATAAACTTACCAATTATCCATATCTTTTTTCAAACAATCTCATTAGAAATCACACAAATATATACACAACAATACAAGTCTTTGTTCTGTTCTTACCAATTAATACTATATGAGAATACACAATTAGCAATCAGCTAGCAACTAACATTACAATAAAATTTCTAACTCAATTATTACAAAATAATTACAACTAAATTTGAAAACCTTATTGCATCAAACTATCTGAATAAAAGCAACAAAACAACATCCCTAATCAACCATCTTATAATCAACAAACAAACTATACAAACATACTTAGATTCTTAACACAGACCAAAACAGTATATACTTACAGTTGGACTTATAGTCTTCTTGACCAACAATATACAGAAGACTTTTACAATTCTTATACTTGTCTATCACAAGGAAAAGCTAATAAAAAACTAACTAAATGAATATCTGAATAAATAAACTACAGTACTTCAACTAATCATATTTTACATTATCAAATCTAGATAAGTTTTAACCATTTTAGTAGATTTAAGTTGCAGATAAATTAGATAAATTAGATAATCATTTCATCTATAGTCTAAGTCTCATTCTTGTAAAAAATTTATAAATTGACTCTGACCTGTGTTAACTTATGTAGTTGTAACAAATTATTAATAAAGATAAAGACAAAACCTTATCTTAATACCAAATAAAAAAAAAAACATTACTATATATAGTATTTATTAGCAATAGAATAGTCTTTATTATAATAATTTATACATATAAAATATATATAAAAGCACTGCTTTCTGAACTTCAAGAAAATCAAATGCTTCTACACTTCATACAAGTGTTTCTATACTTCATATAAGTGCCTTTATATACTTAGAAGTGTCTTTATATATTTTAATAATGAATAAACTGAATACTATATTTAGTATCTTTATATAGTATCTATTGTTGTCTCTATCTTAAAATCCTAAATTACTCTGTATTTTGTTAAGTCTTGTATAGACTTTGTATAGAATCTGTCAAGTTATACATAGTTGTCATACTATAGTTAAATAGCTTCTGTTATAATTATAGTTAAAGAAAAAACTACAGGTTAACACTATATATATGTAATTAATATATAAAGCTTATATATATTATAAAATTTTAGAAAGAATACTTTAATATTATTTTTATTCATTATTGTTTATATGTATTTAACTTAATTGCTAAGAGCATTACTCATTTCTCTAATAGTATTTTAGTATATAAAAGCTTATTAATATTTTTATTCATCATATATCTGGAATAAAAAATTAAAAAACTGATAAAAAAAAACATAATATCAAGTACTTTTTATTCATGTTTTATGAAACTAGATAGTATTTAGTCATAAAAAGTTTGTATCAAGATATCAATATATGAACAAGGTTTTCAACACTGCCTCTTATTAAATAAAAATTTATATCTTAGATATTCAAAGATTGAAAATATTGCTATTAAAAATATTATCTACAACAAATTTCACTTTGCTACTAATATTATACTAGTAAAGGTATTAAAGCTAATTATCAATACTATTGATAAACTAAAATCAAATGATTTTATATTAGCTGATATTTTTAAAAAGCTTTTTAATATTCATTAGCAAATATCTTAACTTGTTGTTCCTATAAATAATTTTAAATCTTATATTCTTAGTATTATAAACCAACATGCAAAGGAATTTTACTCCAACATATATTTTGTTGCACTCTTTCTTTCACAGACCTTCAAATAACTCATTATATTTAAAAAAATAAATGGTGATAAAATTATTTATATCTCATTTAAATTAGCTAAAATATAAGGCTTTAGTAAAAGAAATACAGGTTTTTTATATAAAGAATTAATTAATTACAAAAATAATAATCCTCCTTTGATATTCAACTTCCTAGTCTTTCACAGTATTTATAATTATTTTGAATTAATTTTATAAAAAATACACCTTTTTTGTGTCATTTTTGACGAAACTCCTTACTATTATTCCTCATAGTGCTAGCTATAAATGACTTTTTTTAATACTGAATCTAGTTAAATCAAAAATAAAAACTCTGTTGTTACATGATAATCTATTAATAATTGGATAACTTAAAAATGAACTCAAAAAAAATGCATTTAAAGTTAATAATAAAAATAAAACTATATTCAAATCTTTATTCAATGATGATAAAAATATTAATACTTTATTTAACAATGATGACCAACAAATAAAGAAATTAATTGAACTAGAAAAATCAGATGAAGAACTAGATATTTTATCAAAAGAGAATGATTTGTATATTATAAAAGAATTTTTTGATTTTATGATATTTAAAAAAGACCAAGAAGCTCTTAATAAAAATTTATTTTTGACTAACATGAAACTAAGAAAATATATTGAAGAGGAATGATCTATTGAAACATTATTTCTTAAACTAAAAAATAAATTACTTCAATTTTTCAATCTAAATTAAAAATAAAACTTTGATTTTAGTTACTTATATAATTACATATATTTAACAAAATCTAAACATCTATTTTATACAATATTATAAAATAAGTAAAACTAGTTACTTGATTTATATACTAGAAACATACCCTGAGACATGATAAGTAAGGCATGCCTAAAATATTACATGTCTTCTACATTAATGATCACACCTATTTAGATTTATGATGCCAAAAGTGATTCCATAATAGGTAAGACCAATTCTTTTCACAAACATTGATGACAATCACCATATTTCTCATTATAGTAGTGCTCATGCTCTGCCATACTGGTTTCCTTCTGAGAATTCCTTGGATCAAATATGTACTTTCACTTGGACTTCCACAAGGCTTTACATCTGATTATAGGCTCCATTTTAGGTTATAGAGTATTTTACCTTCAGCCAGACTCGAACCGTTGATCTTGTCTGTGAAGGGATGAGAGCTTAACAACTAAGCTATGGGATCCAACCACGCGTTCCTGATAAGTATTGTCTTAAATAAATTTTTTATTTAATTATTAAAGTTTTTAATCCAAGTAAATTTAAACACTGTATTACTTATATGCATATGTATATGTCTGATTTAATAAAGATATTAGATCAATGTTGTTAAATAGGCATGTTCATTGGTAATTTTCACATCTTTTTATTATGCTATTGAACAATAAACAATAAATAAAAGGATTCGGCAATTACAATGAACAAACTGTTTAACAACGCTATATTAGATGGATCAAGCTTCGCCCAAAATTTACATAGTAATCATATCCCCGAAGTTTACTACGTTTTTTTTTTACTGGTTCTCAAGAGAATCACAAATTAACTATAGTCCGTATAGTTCTAATAGTAATCTACAGTTTGAGTAATCTGCTATTTCAGTATTTCCATATCTTTGAATAAATGATACCAATTTAAATAATTTAAATTCAACTATAGTTCGAGTAGTTGATCTGCAATATGAGTACGAATGATATCCGAATTGCCAATCAGCGGATCACATCACTAATCCGGAATGAGGTATTGACTTTAGTATGCTAATTTTATATATTCAAGTGCGATTTTAGTAGTATAATTCACTATTTTACTAAACCATACACCACTACTATTCATAATAACGTGTTACATATGACCCGCGTAATAATAATTGGTACATAATTGCGTACGTACGTACCAATTTTTATTGGAACAATTATACCGAAATAATAACTTAACCGGGTTTTGCATCGATCTGTGTCACTAAATCTTGGGAACTAACAAAAAAATGTTAGGAGACCGATTTTACCCATAAATTCCTAACTTATAGTTAATACTTCAATCCGGATTTATTACATCCGAATTTTTTATAGTAAAACCGGATTGACCATTCCTAACCTCCAAACAACCCTAACGATAATTTTAATTGCTTCGTTTTAACATTTTTCTAAATAAGGAAATTTGAAATTGGGATGTTTAAAATGTGGTTGTTTTTGGAAGTTTGTCTGGACGGTTAATTCTTATAGATCTACTGTAATTATTAACCTTTCAAATTAATATTTTTTTTAAAAAATTCATCATTCTAATATTATATACAAGAAGCGAAAAACTTCAACTTATAAATTTATAAATACAAACGGAATAAATACTAGCTTTTTTAAATTTCATTTAATTCATAAAATGTTCAAGGTTCATCGCAAATAAAATTTATTTTAAGAATATTCACAATATAAGACAAATTTTGAAAAAATAAATGTGGAAAAATGTATAAATACTCATAATGTTGAAGTATCATTATTCTTTGTTCTATTAGTTTTTCGTCTTTTTTCTATAACCTTTTCCTTTCATTCCTTTCATTCCTTTTATTCCTTTCATTCCTTTTATTCCTTTTATTCCTTTAATTCCTTTCTTACCTTTCTTACTTTTAAAAATTAGAAGGATATTTACCATTAAAATTAGAAGGATACATTCTTCAATCCCAATTCAATAATAATCTTTATCACAATCTTCTTACTTTTTGAAAAAAATGAGGTTGTTAAACTATATTATATTTATTTCTGTATTAACTTATTTATTCGCCTTGGTTGCTTCGATTGAGTTAGTGACAGAAGGTGAAATCAATATAGATTCATTTAAAAATAGAGTTAGATTTAATGTTATTTTTAACACTAAAGCAAATTGCGACAAACACTTTGAATGGTTAAAAAGTCAGTACAATAGAATCATTGGAAAGTCAACACAAAGCATTTTATCGGTTGAAGATAAAAATTATGTAAATGAATTTTCTATCGATAATGTTCGAGGATATACTGGCTTTTTTACTCATGATTTTGCTAACAAATTACTGAAAAGAGATGAAGTTGATATAGTGGAAGAAGATAGTATAGTGCACATTAGTCACGTGGTTCCACGTAAAATCCAGAACAACGTTATCTCAAATTTAGATCGTATAGATCAAGCAAATTCTGTTTTAAATGAAAAATATTTATTTCCTGATTCAGCAGGAGAAGGTGTAAATGTTTTTATTGTGGATACGTAAGTAGGCCAAAAAATGCTAGTTTAATAAATGTTAGATTAAATGATTTAATGGGGTTTTTTTTGAAATATAGTGGCATTCGTAAGGATCACATAGAATTTGAAGGACGTGCTAAATCTGGGGGAACTTTTTGCGCTAAATGTGAAGGTGATGATGATCTAAATGGACACGGAACAAGTGTTGCTGGAATTGTAGGTGGTAAAACATTCGGCGTCGCAAAAAAAGTAACCCTTATTGCTGTAAAAGCGCTCAATGATTCTGGTTCGGCTAGCAATTCGGAAATCGTAAATGCATTAACGTTTATTCTAGAAACCCATAAAAAGTCAAAAAACAAGAATTCTGTAGTCAAGTATGTATAAATTAATATATTAATTATTTGAGTATAATAATTAATTAAAAATTTTTTTAGCATGTCTCTTGGGGGCAAAAAATCACGCGTAATTAATAAAACAGTAAAAAAGCTCACAGATGCAGGAATTCATGTTGTTGTGGCAGCAGGAAACGAAGCCGATGATGCATGTAAATCATCACCATCATCCGAACTATCAGCAATAACTGTTGGTGCGATAAATATTGACCGTAGAGATACCAAAAAGAATCAAATCGCATTATTCTCCAACTTTGGAAAATGTGTTGATATTTTTGCGCCAGGCATCTTTATTGTTGCAGCAGGTTCTATTTCTAAATCAGATATTAGTGCGTTTACAGGAACCTCTCAAGCAACACCTCATGTTGCTGGTACAATTGCCCTTATAATCGCTAAAGACGGTAATAAAAGTGCAAAAAAAATGGCCACTACATTGAAGGATTTGTCAATTAAAAATGCAATAGATTTTCTTGGTAATAAAACTATTGCTAAAGGTACTCCAAATAACTTGTTGCGCGTGCCTGCGCCATAAATAATTAAAACGTTATTATATAGAATAATTAAAACGTTAATTTATATAATAATTAAAATGTTATTATATAGAAATATATAAAAAAATAAAAATATTCTCAACTGTTCTGTATCTCTTGTATATCTCACGTAGTTAATATACTAAATTTGTAAAAATTAGTAGAATAAAATGAAGCTCCTTACACTACGTGAACGGATACCTTAAATCTACAAATAAGATGCTTTTAATATATTCGTATTATTATTTGCAAATTCGTCACTGGTTATTATTAAGGATATCAAATTTACCCGGCCCATTTTGCCATATATGAGAATGTAACACGTCAGGAAATTTCAAAACAAACGTTCGTTTTGTTAAAAATCGCCCATTTCTCAAAAACCAGTATAAAAAACCACTTTTAGTGCTGTAACAAAAAAGTTTCCTTGAGTAATTTTACTATATAACTATCTAACCTCTAACTTTATATTAAGCGCTAATCCTAATGTTAATGAATTTTAAGAATTTTTATTATATTACAGTGATTGACAAAACCTGGCACAGATTTTTTGAGTACTTAGTTAATTGAGTTCAAAGATTACATATTCATATAATTAAGGTATTTTAGGATTTTGATAAATGATATAAGTGTTTATATTTTTGTATAAATAATACAATAATTATCAATTTTGGTTTAATAAAATTTTACTATTTTATAAAAAGTTTTTCTCTATTTATTATATAAATTTCATATAATTTTAATTAATAATTAATTAAAAGTTAATAAAACCAAATATTTTATAGTTTAATCTTTTAAATTAAATTTTTTTATAATGTTAAATTGTAAATATTTTATTCATTTAATATCAAATTAATTTTTATATTATATATAGACACTTAACATAACAATATATTTACACTTGCTTAAATTAACGTTAATACTAGAGTATTACAATTGTTATTATTAACTAAGATAAGGTTGTAGTCACCTTATAATATTATATTTTCTAATTTTACAAACTATAATTCTCTTATCTGCTTTTTACTATAATCTTTTCTTTTTTCAAATTGGTTAACTTTAGCAGTTTTGTTACCAATTTGGTTTATATTGGTACTAATTGGTATAGTTGAATTTATCAAATTTCAGATTATTGGTTTGCAGTTATTATATATTTTTTATATATTTTTATAGTTAGTTTGGTCTATAGTATAGGTATATATGTTTTTTAAAATATTTATAAATATACTATCACACTATTGTACTTTTAGCTTAATATTACAAAGAAGTTTAAAATTTCAACTTATAGTATACAGCTATAATAATCATTAATGAAATTGTAATATATTATTATTAGTTTTATTTCTTTATAATTTATAGTATTTATCAAAGATATTTTAATTTTGATTAAGCTAATTCTTTATTACAATTTTTTTTTTATATATACCACTTTGCCTATATTTTAAATTTAGTTATATTATTATCATGATTTTAATTAAGTACTTTGCAAATTAAATATAAAAATTTTAGTATTGTTTTATCTTCTAGAGAACTTATTTTTATAATAGAATTTTCTATAATATTATTATTATAAAAAATAACTCTTTTTACAAATCTATTGCACAAAAATTATCTAAAAAATTCATTCATCTAAAAACACTTATAACTATTTTTTTATTATGATAACCTATCTTGCACTCTTAAGTAATCTTGTTCAGCTCATCATATTATATATATTTTGCAAATATTAAGTTTCTATATTTCAAACTTATTGAAAAAACTGTACTGATGACTTTTGATCTTCAGTTTTAAAAATTTAAACATCTTGCAGTTTTACTACTTTAACCTATTTTATACTCTTAACTAAAGTTGTAGAACTTATTTACTTGGTCAAAACAAGTTCTAAATTAAGAATTTTGATCTAATATTGATTGAACTACAAACAAATTCAATATTTATTCTCTTGCAAAACTTTTTTTCCACTTTTTGTCCTTATCCCATTCCCTTTTCCTCTTACATGTTCTTTGTTTAACTATACAATTATTTCCAAATTTATATCTTATTAATTTATACCAATATCTGTAATTAATCTATTTATAGACATTTATTCAACACAATCAATTATTGATATATTTAGTTCTTACTTATATTACACAGTAATTTGTATTACAAATTACAGTTATGTTCAGTATCTGAGTCACAGTAATGACCCTAACTATTCTAGTTATATTCTAGTACTATTTCAGTAATATCTTTACAATACAACTCTTATTTTTATCTACTACTCTTACAAAATTAATACTTACAATTATATTTGTTATTTAGCAAAATTCTCAAAGTCTAATTCTCTTTTTCTTTCTTCTTATATAATCTGCAAATATTGCAAAATATCTATATTAACTTATCAAGAGTCTGATACTGCAAACCTTAATTATTTTTATTAAAACTTCTCTAACAGTTTTAGAATCACTCTTTATTAAGAAGAACAAAACAACAAAGCTTATTTAATTTCTCTTAAAATCTAACCAATTTTTTGTTTAACAAAAAATCTTAGATCACATAAAATTATATATTTTTTCAAGTTTTCTCCTCTACCTCTATGATTACATGGCTTTGTGGCAAATATTACACTAAATTCATCTCATCTACCAATACCAATCATATTTAAGCTACTGATTTTACTACTATTGTATCAATAACAACTCCAAAAAACTCAACAAAACAAGCCAAGATCTTATATCTAACATTTCTTCTTAGCTAATAGTATTCTTCCATCTTCTACACCTGATATACATTATCATATCTATTCAAAATACTTTGTACTAATTAGTTGTACCAAGAAAAATGAGTATCATTATCCTATCAAAAAATATGTTATTAAAAATAATAAAGTCTATTATCTTATCTGTATGACTGTCTCATCTTAGCATGAAACTAGTTCATCTAAAACTAAAAAAAACCTAATCAAACTTTTCAAAACATCTTACTGGAATCTAATCAAATTACTAACCTTAATACTAATTTCTCAAACCAAGCTTCCTTTACTATTCCTGATCTTATAGATTCTTTCTTTGTTACAACCATTTATACTAATTCTATTTTTAATCAATTTCTTATTATTAATATTTCTAATAACTCTAACCTTAATTTTAATAACTCTAGTAATACTAATCAACCTGACAATACCTCTAACAAACCTTCTCTTCAAACTTACTCTAGTATACTTAAACCAAAATTCAATCCCAATTATGACTGGTTTGCAAATTTTCTAATTACTGAAGATATATAACCTGATAAAAAATTATAAATCATATTCTCTCTACACTTTTTTATTTTTTTCAAAAAATTTCTTTATGACTTTTATTCTAGTAAAAAAATTAAACCAGTTACCTTTATTTAACCTGACTCAAGGCCTCATTCTACTATATGATTCATATTATAGCTAGACAATGACCAGAATTCTTAACTGATCTCATTTATAGTAGCAATCCCAATATTGACAAAAATGCTACTATTTATTTAACTTACTTGAATCTATTCTCAAAAACTTATTACTTAAATTTACAACTGTTCTTTTTACAAGACTTAATTATCTTAAAATCTTTATCTTATCAGTTACCATTTCTCTATATACTGTTTACATTATCTTCAACTCTGTCTTAATCTTATATAACTTCTTTTTTTTTTATTTAATAATTATCAATCAATCGATTACCAAAAATTTGCTAAAGATTTGAAACTTAGACCTAAAAGATTTAAAATTAAATCTTTCATTCAAACTACCAATTTTGACCAAAAATACTTTATTATTCAATCAGATACTAGATTCAACATCAAGCTCTTTTTCAAGGTTCCAAAAACATTGTTTCTTGAAAGATTTTGTATTTCTTTTCTAAAAAACTCTTTTGATTACATTAATTTTTGGTTTGAAACCTACTATTCTCCTTATAGTTGACAATTTTTTTCTAATATTAACAAAGAAAAAATCAAAACTTCTCTTTGAATTCAATTCTGTTAGTATTTTATTCTTTAACTCTCCATGCATCTTTCTGAATTCTACATATTTCAAAAATTTAATTCAGTTCATGAATAATGTGAGAAAGCATCTCATATTACAAATTTTCATTGCTTTACTTATGACAACAAATCATGTCAATATCTTAATGATAAAAAATTCTATGACAGTACTAAATCTTTAATGATATACTAAGTAAATTTCACTTATCATTCCTATCTAAAGAGAATAAAACATGGATTCATTCTATTTTTAATATTACATTTTTCATAAAAACAAAGAACATGCTGTCTCACTTAACCAACCTATTTCTATCAAAGTCTTGAACAAGTTGGCTGATCAAGCTGAAGACTTTGTTTATAAACAAAACAAAGTTAAAACAAATCCTAAACATTGTAATTACTATTTTTATTATTATCTTTCACTATATTACCAAACTGCAATAGAAAATCACAATATACAGTCTCTTTCCAAGGAGGAAGCAATTTTTAATTTATTAACTAAAAATATTATTAATACTAAATTCTTTGTCCAAATCATTACCTATATTGATGTTATCAAAAATCAAAAATCTATTTATTTACAAATTGTCAAATATTTCAATAATACTGCCTATCTATTAGCTGAGAAGTTTTTAGTAAAAAAATTCAATCTTAACTTTCAACTGGTCTCTATTCTTAACTTACTCTTTTTACAATCTTCTTTTTAAGTTCTTTGTTTTCTACAACTAATATTGAAGCAGTCATCATTTTATTAAAAAATCAACCACTGTAATTAATAAGAAAAATGAAATAAATAGGCAGATGGACAAGTCTATTTATGTAGAAGGCCAGGATAATGACAGTTAGACCCAATGTACAGAGCAGACTATAGTACTTTGCATAGATGTAAGAGCTGAGCATATAGTGATTAACCCTGTAGAAGACAATTTTGAAAGATCATTTACAACATTTTTAATCTTTATGATTTTTATATATGCTTTAACAAATTCCTTCTTTATTACCAACTATC